GGGGAGGGGAAGATGAGCCCCAGGGTCAGGGTGGGGAGGTAGGGACGAGCCCCAGGGTCAGCGTGGGGAGGGGGGGATGAGCCCCAGGGTCAGGGTGGGGAGGGGGAGATGAGCCCTAGGGTCAGGGTAGGGAGGAGGGATGAGCCCCCAGAGTCAGGGTGGGGAAGGGGGGATGAGCCCAGGGTCAGGGTGGGGAGGGGGGGATGAGCCCCAGGGTCAGGGTGGGGAGGGGGAGATGAGCCCTAGGGTCAGGGTATGGAGGGGGTTGAGCCCCCTGGGTCAGGGTGGGGAGGGGGGGGGATGAGCCCCAGGTTCAGGGTGGGGAGGGGGAGATGAGCCCCAGGGTCATGGTGGGGGAGATGAGGGTCAGGGTCAGGGTGGGGAGGGGGAGATGAGCCCCAGGGTCAGGGTGGGGAGGGGGATCAGCCCCAGGGTCAGGGTGGGGAGGGGGGATGAGCCCTAGGGTCAGGGTAGGGACGGGGGATGAGCCCCCTGGGTCAGGGTGGGGAGGGGGGGATGAGCCCCAGGGTCAGGGTGGGGAGGGGGGGATGAGCCCCAGGGTCAGGGTGGGGAGGGGAAGACGAGCCCCAGGGTCAGGGTGGGGAGGGGGGATGAACCCCAGGGTCAGGGTAGGGAGGGGGGATGAGCCCCAGGGTCAGGGTGGGGAGGGGGAGATGAGCCCTAGGGTCAGGGTATGGAGGGGGGATGAGCCCCCTGGGTCAGGGTGGGGAGGGGGGGATGAGCCCCTGGGTCAGGGTGGGGAGGGGGAGATGAGCCCCAGGGTCATGGTGGGGGAGATGAGCATCAGAGTCAGGGTGGGGAGGGGGAGAGGAGCCCCAGGGTGTGGGTGGGGAGGGGGGATGAGCCCCAGGGTCAGGGTGGGGAGGGGGGATGAGCCCGAGGGTCAGGGTAGGGAGGGGGGATGAGCCCCTGGGTCAGGGTGGGGAGGGGGGGGGATGAGCCCCAGGGTCAGGGTGGGGAGGGGGGGATGAGCCCCAGGGTCAGGGTGGGGAGCGGAAGATGAGCCCCAGGGTCAGGGTGGGGAGGGGGGGATGAGCCCTAGGGTCAGGGTGGGGGAGAAGGGATGAGCCCCAGTGTCAGGGTGGGGAGGGGGGATGAGCCCCAGGGTCAGGGTGGGGAGGGGGGGATGAGCCCCAGGGTCAGGGTGGGGGAGGGGGAGATGAGCACCAGGGTCAGGGTGAGGGGGGGATGAGCCTCAGGGTCAGGGTGGGGGGAGACGAGCCCCAGGGTCAGGGTGGGTAGGGGGAGATGAGCCCCAGGGTCGGAGTGGGGGAGATGAGCCCAATGGTCAAGGTGGGGAGGGGGACATGAGCCCCAGGGTCAGGGTGGGGAGGGGGAGATGAGCCCCAGGGTCAGGGTGGGATGGGGGATGAGCCCCAGGGTCAGGGTGGGGGAGGGGGAGATGAGCCGAAGGGTCAGGTTGGGGGGGATGAGCCCCAGGGTCAGGGTGGGGGGAGATGAGCCCAGGGTCAGGGTGGGGAGGGGGAGATGAGCCCCAGGGTCAGAGTGGGTGAGATAAGCCCCAGGGTCAGAGTGGGGGAGATAAGCCCCAGGGTCAGGGTGGGGAGGGGGACATGAGCCCCAGGGCCAGAGTGGGAAGGAAGAGATGAGCCCCAGGGTCAGGGTGGGGAGGGGGGATGAGCCCCAGGGTCAGGGTGGGGAGGGGGGATGAGCCCCAGGGTCAGCGTGGGGAGGGGGGGATGAGCCCCAGGGTCAGGGTGAGGAGGGGGGATGAGACCTAGGGTCAGGGTGGGGAGGGGTGGATGAGCCCCAGGGTCAGGGTGGGGGGGATGAGCCCCAGGGTCAGGGTGGGGAGGCGGGGAGATGAGCCCCAGGGTCAGGGTGGGGAGGGGGGGAGATGAGCCCCAGGGTCAGGGTGGGGGGGATAAGCCCCAGGGACAGCGTGGGGAGGAGGGATGAGCCCCAGGGTCAGGGTGGGGAGGGGGGGGAGATTAGCCCCAGGGTCAGGGTGGGGAGGGGAATGAGCCCCAGGGTCAGGGTGGGGAGAGGGGGATGAGCCCCAGGGTCAGGGTGGGGTGGGGGATAAGCCCCAGGGTCAGGGTGGGGAAGGGGGGATGAGCCCCAGGGTCAGGGTGGGGAAGGGGGGATGAGCCCCAGGGTCAGGGTGGGGAGGGGGAGATGAGCCCTAGGGTCAGGGAATGGAGGGGGGATGAGCCCCCTGGGTCAGGGTGGGGAGGAAGGGATGAGCCCCAGGGTCAGGGTGGGGAGGGGGAGATGAGTCCCAGGGTCATGGTGGGGGAGATGAGCATCAGGGTCAGGGTGGGGAGGGGGAGATGAGCCCCAGGGTCAGGGTGGGGAGGGGGGATGAGCCCCAGGGTCAGGGTGGAGAGGGGGGATGAGCCCTAGGGTCAGGGTAGGGAGGGGGGATGAGCCCCCTGGGTCAGGGTGGGGAGTGGGCGATGAGCCCGAGGGTCAGGGTGGGGAGGGGGGATGAGCCCCAGGGTCAGGGTGGGGGGGAATGAGCCCCAGGGTCAGGGTGGGGGGGATGAGCCCCAGGGACAGCGTGGGGAGGGGGGATGAGCCCAGGGTCAGGGTGGGGAGGGGGGGAGATGAGCCCCAGGGTCAGGGTGGGGAGGGGGATGAGCCCCAGGGTCAGGGTAGGGGAGAGGGGGATGAGCCCCAGGGCCAGGGTGGGGTGGGGGATAAGCCCCAGGGTCAGGGTGGGGAGGGGGAGATGAGCCCCAGGGTCAGGGTGGGGAGGGGGATGAGCCCCAGGGTCAGGGTGGGGGGAGGTGAGCTCCAGAGTCAGGGTGGGGAGGGGGGAATGAGCCCCAAAGTCAGGGTGGGGAGGGGGAGATGAGCCCCAGGGTCAGGGTGGGGAGGGGGAGATGAGCCCCAGGGTCAGGGAGGGGGGGGGATGAGCCCCAGGTTCAGGGTGGGGAGGGGGAGATGAACCCCAGGGTCAGGGGGGGAGGGGGAGATGAGCCCCAGGGTCAGGGTGGGGAGGGGGAGATGAGCCCAGGGTCAGTGTGGGGAGGGGGAGATGAGCCCAGGATCAGGGTGGGGGGGGATGAGCCCTAGGGTCAGGGTGGGGGGGATGTGCCCCAGGGTCAGGGTCAGGGTGTGGAGGGGGGGATGAGCCCTAGGGTCAGGGTGGGAGGGGATGAGCCCCAGGGTCAGGGTGGGGGAGAGGAGATGAGCCCCAGGGTCAGGGTGGGGAGGGGGGATGAGCCCCAAGGTCAGGGTGGGGAGGGGGAGATGAGCCCCAATTTCAGGGTGGGGGGGATGAGCCCCAGGGTCAGGGTGGGGAGGGGGGGGATGAGCCCCAGGGTCAGGGTGGGGAGGGGGGATTAGCCCCAGGGTCAGGGTGGAAGGAGATGAGCCCCAGGGTCAGGGTGGCGAGGGGGTAGATAAGCCCCAGGGTCAGGGTGGGGGGTGAGCCCAGGATCAGGGTGGGGGGGATGAGCCTCAGGATCAGGGTGGGGGGGAATGAGCCCCAGGATCAGGGTGGAGGGGATGAGCCTCAGGGTCAAGGTGGGGACGGGGGATGAGCCCCAGGGTCAGGGTGGGGAGGGGGGAGATGAGCCCCAGGGTCAGGGTAGGGAGGGGGAGATAAGCCCCAGGGTCAGGGTGGGGAGGGGGATGAGCCCAGGGTCCGGGTGGGGGGGATGAGGTGAGCTCCAGGTTCAGGGTGGTGAAGGGGGGATGAGCCCCAAAGTCAGGGTGGGGAGGGGGAGATGAGCCCCAGGGTCAGGGTGGGGAGAGGGAGATGACACCCAGGGTCAGGGTGGGAGGGATGAGCCCCAGGGTCCAGGTGGGCAGGGGAAGATGAGCCCCAGGGTCAGGATGGGGGGGAGATGAGCCCAGGGTCAGGGTGGGGAGGGGAGAGATGAGCCCCAGGGTCAGGGTGGGGGAGATGAGCCCCAGGGTCAGGGTGAGGAGGGGTATGAGCCCCAGGGTCAGGTTGGGGAGGAGGAGATAAGCCCCAGGGTCAGGGTGGGGAGGGGGGGGATGAGACCAAGGGTCAGGGTGGGGAGGGGGGGATGAGCCCAGGGTCAGGGTGGGGAGGGAGGGACGAGCCCCAGGGTCAGGGTGGGGGAGGGGGGATGAGCCACAGGGTCAGGGTGGGGGGAGATGAGCCCCCAGGGTCAGGGTGGGAAGAGGGAGATGAGCCCCAGGGTCAGGGTGTGATGAGGGAAAGATGAGCCCCAGGGTCAGGGTGGGGAGAGGGAGATGAGCCCCAGGGTCAGGGTGGAGGAGGGGAAGATGAGCCCCAGGGTCAGGGTGGGGGAGGGGGGGGATGAGCCCCAGGGTCAGGGTGGGGGAGGGGGAGAAGAGCCCCAGGGTCAGGGTGGGGAGGGGGGATGAGCCCCAGGGTCAGGGGGGGAGGGGGAGATGAGCCCCAGGGTCAGGATGGGGAGGGGAGATGAGCCCCAGCGTCAGGGTGGGGAGGGGGGATGAGCCCCAGGGTCAGGATGGGGGAGGGGGAGATGAGCCCCAGCGTCAGGGTGAGAGGGGGGATGAGCCCCAGGGTCAGGATGGGGAGGGGGAGATGAGCCCCAGGGTCAGGGTGGGGAGGGGGGATGAGCCCCAGGGTCAGGGTGGAGAGGGGGGATGAGCCCCAGGGTCAGGGTGGGGAGGGGGAGATGAGCCCCAGGGTCAGGGTGGGGAGGGGGAGATGATCCCCAGGGTCAGGGTGGGGAGGGGCGGATGATCCCCAGGGTCAGGGTGGGGAGGGGGGATGAGCCCTAGGGTCAGGGTGTGGGGAGATGAGCCCCAGAGTCAGGGTGGGGAGGGGGGGGTGAGCCCCAGGCTCAGGGGGGGGAGGGGGGATGAGCCTCAGGGTCAGGGGGGGAGGGGGGGATGAGCCCAAGGGTCAGGGTGGGGAGGGGGGGATGAGCCCCAGGGTCAGGGTGGGGAGGGGGGATGAGCCCCCAGGGTCAGGGTGGGGGGGGGGGACATAGCCAGTGTAAACACCTCCCTCATTATATGGAAGGTCGGACTTTGGAACCCACCAGAGAACCCACCAGAGAAACCCACCAGAGAAACCCACGAGATAACCCTCCAGAGAAACCCGCCAGAGAACCCACAAGAGAAACGCCAGGAACCGCCAGAGAACCGCCATAGAACCCACCAGAGAACCCACCAGAGAACCGACCAGAGAGCCCACCAGAGAACCCACGAGAGAACCCACACGAGAAACCCACCAGAGAACCCACCAGAGAACCCACCAGAGAACCCGCCAGAGAACCCGCCAGAGAACCCGCCAGAGAACCCACCAGAGAAACGACCAGAGAACCACCAGAGAACCCACCATAGAGAAACGCACGAGAGAACCCACCAGGAGAAACCACCAGAGAACCACGCAGAGAACCCGCCATAGAGCCGCCAGATAAACCCGCCAGATAACCGAGCAGAGACCCGCCAGAGAACCCGCGAGAGAACCCTGCAGAGAACCCGCGAGATAACCCGTCAGAGAACCCGCCAGAGAACCCAACGGATAACCCGCCAGAGAACCCGCCAGAGAACCCGCCAGAGAACCGCCAGGGAACCCACCAGATAACCACCAGAGAAACCAGCCAGAGAAACCGCCAGAGAACCCTCAGAGAACCCCAGAGAACCGCCAGAGAACGCCAGAGAACCCACCAGAGAAGCGCCATGAGAACCCACCAGAGAACCGCCAGAGAACGCACCAGATAACGCCAGAGAACCCGCGAGAGAACCCGCCAGAGATGCCCGCCAGAGAACCGCCAGAGAAGCCACCAGAGAACCCGCCAGAGAGCCCGCCCATAGAACCGCCAGAGAAGCCACCAGAGAACCCGCCAGAGAACCCGCCAGGAACCGCCAGAGAAGACGCCAGAGAACTCACCAGAATGAAACCCGCCAGAGAACCGACCAGAGAACCCACCAGAGAACCCGCCAGATAACCCGCCAAGGAACCCACCAGAGAAACCACCAGAGAACCCGCCAGAGAACCCGCCAGAGAACCCGCCAGAGAACCCACCAGAGAAAACGACCAGAGAACCACCAGAGAACCCACCAGAGAACCACACGAGAGAAACCACCAGAGAAAACCACCAGAGAAACCCACCAGAGAAACCCTCCAGAGAGCCCGCCAGAAAACCTGCATAGAACCTAGCATATACCCGCCAGATAACCCTCGAGAGAAACCCTTCATATAACCCTCGAGAGAACCCGGCAGAGAACCCTCCAGAGAAACCCAACGTGAACCCTCCATAGAACCCGCCAGAGAACCCTCCAGAGAACCGCCAGTAGCCCACCATAGAACCACCAGAGAACCTCCAGAGAACCCTCCATATAACCCCCATATAACCTCCTATAACCTCCATACAACCGCCATAGAACCCAGCATATAATATCCATAGAAACCACCAGATAACCGCCAGATAAACGCACCATAGAACATCCAGAGAACCCTCGAGATAACCCTCCAGATAGCCCTCAAGAGAACCGCCAGATGAAGCCACCATAGAAACCCCAGAGAGCCCGCCATATAACCTCCATAGCAAATCCACCAGAGAACCGCCAGAGAACCCTCCAGAGAACCGCCAGAGAAGACGCCAGAGAACGCACCAGAGACCCTCCAGAGAACCGACCAGAGAACCCACCATAGAAACCCGCCAGAGAACCCGCCAGATAACCCACCAGAGAACCCACCATAGAACCCGCCAAGAGAACCCTCCAGATAGCCCGCGAGAGAACGAGACAGAGAACCCTCCATAGAACCCACGCAGATAACCGCCAGAGAACCCGCCAGAGAACCCAACAGAGAACCCACCAGATAACCCGCCAGAGAACCCTCCATATAACCGCCAGAGAATCCGCCAGAGAACCCACCAGAGAACCGCCATAGAACCCGCCAGAGAAACCTCCAGAGAAACCCGCCATATAACCTCCAGATATAACCCAGTACCCCCATAGAACCAACAGAGAACACACCAGAGAACCAACCATATAACCCTCCAGATAACAACCCGCCATAGAACCTCAATATAACCCGCCAGCAACCCCACCATAGAACCCACCAGAGAAACACCATAGAAACGCTCCATAGAACAGCAGAGAACCCTCCATATAACCCACAGAGAACCGCCAGAGAACCCTCCAGATACTTCACAAGAGAACCACAATAGAACCGCCAGAGAACCCGCCAGAGAACCACCAGAGAACCCACCAGAGAACCGGCAGAGAACCCGCCATAGAACCCACGAGAGAACCGCCCAAGACCCGCCATATAACCCACCAGATAACCCACCAGAGAACCATCCAGAACCCGCCAAGACCCGCCAGAGAACCACCAGAGAAACCAACCAGAGAACCCGCGATAGAACCCGAAGAGTAACACCTCCAGAGAACCCACCAGAGATAACCCGCCAGAGAACCCGCCCAGAGAACCGCCAGAGAACCCACAAGAGAACCCACCAGAAACAGCCCGCAGAAACCCACCATATAACCTCCATATAACCCTCCATATAACCCTCCATATAACCCACCATATAACCCTCCATATAACCTACCATATAACCCACCATATAAACCACCATATAACCCCACCATATAACCCACCATATAACCCACTATATAACCCACCATAATAACCCACCATATAACCCACCATATAACCCTCCATATAACCCACCATATAAACCACCATATAACCCACCATATAACCCATCATATAACCACCATATAACCCACCATATAAACCACCATATAACCCACCATATAACCCTCCATATAACCCTCCATATAACCCACCATATAACCCTCCATATAACCCTCCATATAACCCTCTCATATAACCTCCATATAACCCAACATATAACCACCATAAACCCTCCATATAACCCTCCATATACCCTCCATATAACCCTCCATATAACCCTCCATATAACCTCCATTTAACCTCCACCATATAACCACCATATAACCCACCACATACCCTCCATATAACCCACCATATAACCTCCATATAACCCTCTATATAACCCTCCATATATACCCACCATATAACCCTCCATATAACCCACCATATAAACCTCCATATAACCCACCATATAACCTCCATATAATCCTCCATATAACCCTCCATATAACCCTCCATATAACCTCCATATAATCCACCATATAACCCTCCATATAACCCACCATATAACCCTCCATATAACCCACCATATAACCCACCATATAACCCTCCATATAACCCACCTCCATATAAACCACCTCCATATAACTCACCATATAACCCTCCATATAACCCACCATATAACCCATATAACTAACACCATATAACCCTCCATATAACCCTCCATATAACCCACCATATAAACTAATAACCACCATATAACCCACCATATAACCCACCATATAACCCACCATATAACCAACCATATAACCCACCATATATAACCACCATATAACCCACCATATAACCCACCATATAACCCACCATATAACCCACCATATAAACCACCATATAACCCACCATATAACCCTCCATATAGCCCACCATATAACTTCCATATAACCCTCCATATAACCGCCAGATAAACCTCCATATAACCCACCCATATAACCCTTCATATAACCCTCTATAGAACCCTTCATATAACCCACCATATAACCCCACGTATAACCCTCCATATAACCCTCCATATAACCCTCCATATAACCTCCATTTATCCCACCATATAACCACCATATAACCCTCCATATAACCCTCCATATAACCCTCCATATAACCTCCTTATAACCTCCATACAACCTCCATATAACCCAGCATATAATCTCCATATAACCCACCATATAACCTCCATATAACGCACCATATAACCTCCATAGAACCCTCTAGATAACCCTCCATATATCCCTCCATATAACCTCCATATAATCCACCATATAACCCTCCATATAGCCCCCATATAACCTCCATATAATCCACCATATAACCCTCCTATATAACCCTCCATATGAACCCACCATATAAACCACCAGATAACCCACCATATAACCCATATAACCCACCATATAATCCTATAACCCACCATATAACCCTCCATATAACCCACCATATAACCACCATATAACCCTCCATATAACCCACCATATAACCCCCATATAACCCACCATATAAACCATATAACCCACCAGATAACCCACCATATAACCCACCATATAACCCACCATATAACCCCCATATAACCATATAACCCACCATATAACCCACCATATAACCCACCATATAACCCACCATATAACCCACCATATAACCCTCCATATAACCCACCATATAACCCACCATATAACCCACCATAATAACCCTCCATATAACCCACCATATAACCCACCATATAACCCTCCATATAACCCTTCATATAACCCTCCATATAACCCTCCATATAACCCTCCATATAACCCTCCATATAACCCTCCATATAACCCTCCATATAACCCTCCATATAACCTCCATATAACCCACCATATAACCCACCATATAACCTCCATATAACCCTCCATATAACCCTCCATATAACCTCCATATAACCCTCCATATAACCTCCATATAACCCACCATATAACCCTCCATATAACCCACCATATAACCTCCATATAACCCACCATATAACCTCCATATAACCCTCCATATAACCCTCCATATAACCCTCCATATAACCCTCCATATAATCTCCATATAATCCACCATATAACCCTCCATATAGCCCTCCATATAACCTCCATATAACCCTCATATAACCCTCCATATAACCCTCCATATAACCTCCATATAATCCACCATATAACCCTCCATATAACCCTCCATATAACCTACCATATAACCCACCATATAACCCTCCATATAACCCTCCATATAACCCACCATATAACCCACCATATAACCCTCCATATAACCCTCCATATAACCCTCCATATAACCCACCATATAAACTACCATATAACCCACCATATAACCCACCATATAACCCACTATATAACCCACCATATAAACCACCATATAACCCACCATATAACCCTCCATATATCCCTCCATATAACCCTCCATATAACCTATCATATACCCTCCATATAACCCTCTATATAACCCTTCATATAACCCTCTATATAACCCTTCATATAACCCTCCATATAACCCAACGTATAACCCTCCATATAACCCTCCATATAACCCTCCATATAACCTCCATTTAACCCACCATATAACCACCATATAACCCTCCATATAACCCTCCATATAACCCTCCATATAACCTCCTTATAACCTCCATACAACCTCCATATAACCCAGCATATAATCTCCATATAACCCACCATATAACCTCCATATAACGCACCATATAACCTCCATATAACCCTCTATATAACCCTCCATATATCCCTCCATATAACCTCCATATAATCCACCATATAACCCTCCATATAGCCCTCCATATAACCTCCATATAATCCACCATATAACCCTCCATATAACCCTCCATATAACCTCCATATAATACTCCATATAACTCACCATATAACCCTCCATATAACCTACCATATAACCCACCATATAACCCTCCATATAACCCTCCATATAACCCACCATATAACCCACCATATAACCCTCCATATAACCCTCCATATATCCCTCTATATAACTATACATATAACCCTCCATATAACCCACCATATAACCCTCCATATAACCCTCCATATAACCCAACATATAACCCACCATATAACCCTCCATATAACCCTCCATATAACCTCCATATAATCCTCCATATAACCCACCATATAACCTCCATATAACCCTCCATATAACCTCCATATAACCCTCCATATAACCCTCCATATAACCCTCCATATAACCTCCATATAATCCACCATATAACCCTCCATATAACCCTCCATATACCCGCCATATAACCAACATATAACACACCATATAACCAACCATATAACCCTCCATATAACCACCATATAACTCTCCATATAACCCTCCATATAACCCTCCATATAACCCACCATATAACCCACCATATAAACACCATATAACGCTCCATATAACAGCATATAACCCACCATATAACCCACCATATAACCTCCATATAACCCTCCATATAACCCACCATATAACCCACCATATAACCCTCCATATAACCCTCCATATAATCCACCATATAACCCACCATATAACCTTCATATAACCCTCCATATAACCCACTATATAACCTCCATATAACCCTCCATATAACCCACCATATAACCCACCATATAACCATCCATATAACCCTCCATATAACCCTCCATATAACCCACCATATAACCCACCATATAACCCTCTATATAACCCTCCATATAACCCTCCATATAACCCACCATATAACCCTCCATATAACCCTCCATATAACCCTCCATATAACCCACCATATAACCCACCATATAACCCTCCATATAACCCTCCATATAACCACTATATAACCCTCCATATAACCACCATATAACCCACCATATAACCCTCCATATAACCCACCATATAACCCACCACATAACCACCATATAACCTCCATATAACCCTCTATATAATCCACTATATAACCCACCATATAACCCACCATATAACCACCATATAACCTCCATATAACCCACCATATAACCCACTATATAACCCTCCATATAACCCACCATATAACCCTGCATATAACCCACCATATAACCCACCATATAACCCACCATATAACCTCCATATAACCCACCGTATAACCCACCATATAACCCACCATATAACTCTCCATATAACCCTCCATATAACCTCCATGTAACCCAACATATAACCCACCATATAACCCTCCATATAACCCTCAATATAACCCTCCATATAACCCTCCATATAACCCACCATATAACCACCATATAACCTCCATATAACCCACCATATAACCCACCACATAACCCTCCATATAACCCACCATATAACCCACCATATAACCTCTTTATAACCCACCATATAACCCACCATATAACCCACCACATAACCCACCATATAACCCACCATATAACCCACCATATAACCCTCCATATAACCCTCCATATAACCCTCAATATAACCCACCATATAACCCCCCATATAACCCACCATATAACCCACCATATAACCCACCATATAACCCACCATATAACCTCTTTATAACCCACCATATAACCCACCATATAACCCACCATATAACCCACCATATAACCCACCATATAACCCACCATATAACCCACCATATAACCCACCATATAACCCACCATATAACCTCCATATAACCCACCATATAACCCACGATATAACCCACCATATAACTCACCATATAACCCACCATATAACCTCCATATAACCCACCATATAACCCACCATATAACCCACTATATAACCCACTATATAACCCACCATATATCCCACTATATAACCCACTATATAACCC